TAAATTAACTCCTAAGAAATTAAGTGCTGTCTTTTTGTGGTGGGTTTTTGATTTAGAACGTACATTAGCACCTTGATGAATTTACTAATATTTTCCTACCCTGACGAGGGAATATCCTAGCAAATTGAAATAATCAATCTATAGATATTGGCTCGAAAACAACTATAGCTGAGTAGCTTCCCGTATGGGACCTCAGTACCTGCTGGGAAACTGGCTAACTAACAAAAAAACTCTTCAGTATTGAATATAGGTAGTGCTGATTGAATGTTGTGTGTGGAATTAAAATTTTAGCACAAAGACAAAGGATGGTACCTTATTTAAACTTAAATTGATTTAAAATATCGATTATTGACTTACTATTATTATTAAAATTACACAGTATGTTTGGATTTTTGAGGAATGTTAGATCGAGGGTTTCTCTGCCGTGCTCTTTCCCCTCGTTAGTTCCAAGATGAGAACGGTACGATTTACTTTAATAATAAAGTAGACGTTTCAAAAATTTTTCGTTTCTTTTACATATCACAACTTCCCTTAAATTTTTCAAATATTTGCTATGTCGAACGCATGTCCAGTAAGTAAAATTGAGTAAGTCTCCACAATGTAAAGGTCCTATTTGTTTTTCATTTCATTTTTCAGAAGATTTGTTGGTTAAAGATAATAAAAATTCTCATCGTTCAATCTTACTGAACGAACCCGGGTATGTTATACTACACTACTCTGTAAGTTCTAAAGTCCGACAAATACCATTTTAAAGTCACGTGATATTGGTGGCAAAAAACGTATGTTCGTTGATTATGTCGTTGATATCACCTACAAAAAGCTACTTGTGGTTAATTACTATTGAATTTTAAGATATGTTCCCACTAGCATTTTACAAACGCGTTTCTGAAGTAGTATTGACCAATCAGATGAGAATTTTAATACTTGCAATTGTTGCGAGACTCACTTTTGTCGCTTCTGCTGCCCCTTGTGATACATTCTGAACTTGAATTGGGTACCCGTTTTCTATTTGCATCTTTTTGAGTTGGAAAAAGGTTAATATAGTCAAAATTATTAGCTGTGTTTGTTCGTTGTATCATTTTCTAAAATAACTTTGACAAACTAATTGATGACAGTGACGGATTCTATTTCAGGTAAGAATTTTATGAACAATAATTAGACAGCAATTTTTTTGTCAATTTTACTATCACCGCTGTTTGAGATGTATTCAACAAGGATAGAGAAAAATCACGTGACTTTAAAATGGTATGCGTTGGACTATAGACAATAACACAAAAATCACGATGAAACCAGCACCATTACACTTCGTTCAACTACACAAGCTCAACCAGTCACAAAACTGGCTGTCTTACTATCGACTTGCTTTCTACTAATAATTATCGGTTTATCAACGTATATTCGCGCTAAATCCCCCGGTAACTGATTCTTAACACACTGGCTCGTCTAATTTATCGCTTACCTTTTTCCCTCACAGGCCGACTCCGTTTACAGCGCGTCGTTGTCGTTGCTTCTAGAAATAACAAGATATTAACGGTGACTGCGTAGTTCATAATTTAAGTTCTGTCAATACAAAATTTTATTTTCACCTAAACGCCCAAACTCAATTTTTTTAACTCCAACCACTCCCACAGAAATTGAAAACCTTATAAAAAAACTAAAACAAAAAAAAGCGCCGGGGCATGATCAAATAAGTTCAGAGTGTTTGAGGAATATATCCACAGTAATATCTCCCCATCTATCTTTTTTGGTGAATAAATGTTTCACAAATGGCTATTTTCCTAAAGTCCTAAAGATCGGGATTATCAAACCAATTTATAAGGGAGGTGATAGAAAACAAATAATAAATTATAGACCTATAACCCTAATTTCATCTGTAGCGAAGGTCTTCGAAATGTCAATGAAGCAACGCTTGGTTGGTTTTCTTGAAAAATATAAATTACTGTCAGAGAAGCAATTTGGTTTTAGGGCTGGAAAATCGACTGAGGATGCAATAGTGAATCTGACAAAACAAATAAACAATGCTTTAGACAATAAAAAACCTTCACTTTGCATCTTCGTCGATCTAGCAAAAGCGTTTGATACGGTGGATCACGCGAGGCTTGTCAGGAAACTGGAAAGGATTGGTTTAAGGGGACCGTGTCTTGAGCTTCTGAAAAGTTATTTAGAAGATCGATTTCAAACTGTACACATTGGAGATACATTTAGCACTATGAAAGCTGTTAAATATGGCGTACCACAAGGGACGGTCCTTGGTCCACTTTTGTTCATCGTTTACATGAACGACTTGTTTTCAGTAAAAACCAGAGGTAACCTGGCAAGTTTCGCGGATGATACTGTGGAATTTTTCATTGCAGATACGTGGCTGGAAGTAAAACGGATTGCTGAACAGGATTTCAGGGAAATACAGAATTGGTTCGATCATAATTCTCTGACAGTTAATATAGACAAAACACATTACTTACCTTTTTCATCATATAAGTCTGGGCTACCGGATAGAGGAAGTTTACAGATTGCGGGTTCTAGAAGTGTGACGCAAGTAGAGTCGGTCAAATACTTGGGTGTTACTATAGACCAACACCTTAGATGGGATGTACATGTTAATATCCTCGTCAAAAAGCTTAGATATCTGGTGTCTAGGTTCAAATGTTTCAAAAAATATTTTAATATGTCAGATTTACGAATATTGTATTTCGCACTAGTTCAATCGCACTTGACATATGGCCTCTGTGGGTGGGGTGGTGTAAATGATTTTCATATCTCAAAACTAAATACTTTGCAAAAACTGATTCTTAAAGTAGTCCTTAATAAAAATAGGAGATATTCTACAGAAAAACTTTTTAGTGAAAGCGGATTTTTAAATATTAGACAGTTATTGTGTGAGAAGATAGCTTTAAGAATTTTCAACAATAAAGAAAGGATAGAGGTCATGAGTCATCCACACCGAACAAGAAATGTTTCTAGAAAGATATCTAGGCTTCCTAGAGCCAAGAAAACAATAGGCACTAGGCATATTGGCTATATGGCTCCTAGATTATATAACTTGATGCCAGATTCTGTAAAGTCTCAACGTAAAATCATGAAATTTAAGAAAGAACTAAAAAAATGGATAAAAAGTGCTAGTGAACTCGTAGACAATGTTATGCAGTGAGCAAAATGATGTGAAAGTGTATTCTCGAATGTGACCTACTAACCCGGAAATGACTAAATTTAAACCTGGATATGACTTTTTACTCGATCTGGACAATCAACCCAAAATGGACAAATTTTCTAAACAAGCAAACTTGATTTGCAAACCTCACAACAAGTGTTCTACACTTCAAACGTGAGCCTGTTTATTGTCATGTATTTTTATAATTGTTTTGTATACTTATTGTATTTTTTTGAACGATAATAAACATTATTTATTTATTTATTATTTAATCTCAGGCTGGAACTTAAACCGAATTGAAACTATTCCAAAGTTGACTAAATATTTTAGGGAACTGCAGTTTAAGTAAGAGTTTGGGTCTTTGGGATCAACCTGGGACAAGGCAATATCGATAACAATGCAATAGTGAAATAAATATATGACAGTTGTTACAATGACAGAAATTGATGAATATTCATTCGTCAAACCCCAAGATACTACTGGATATGAATGATTGAAAAATCAATGTGAGTTGCATTGTACTTTTTAAAATTTTCATTGTTTATTGAAGAGGTTACTGGAAATCTAATCGTTTCTTGAATGGAAATTTGAACAAGCTCCAATAAGTCTACGACATTATTTGATTTGGCTGAAATTGGTTTGATATTCACGCGCATACGAAATTTAATTCCAATTTGAATGACGAAACTATATAGGAAATTCCTATCAAATTTCGCTTGCGAAAATATTCATTCGCATCCGAGATGAGGAACACAACATCTGATTATTATTTCCATACCAGCTAAAACATTGACAGATGTTTCGTCAACATAAATTTGACAACAAACAAATATTTTTCTTTAAATCCGAAGTAACCCAATATACAAAGGGTAACTAATAACCTACAATATATCAATGATCTCGTGAAATACCATTACAGGTTACTATCCTAAATCATGCTCAGTGATTGGAAATGATGTATTTACTGAAATTGGGGAATTTCATTTTCAATAGAAAAGATAGAAATAGCACTCCGGATAGAGACCCAACAGATGATTACGAAGACAACCTTTTGCCTCTTCTTAAAGGTAACTGTTTTAATACGGGTTGCCTACTCTACTGGGCCCTAATTTAGACATTTTAGGTGGCCTATCCAAAATGATGAAAATAGTTTGCCCTCGCAAACTAGTGTCCGCACACAAGCCCAATAACTACTGTTTGGATTATTGTCGGTAATAAAAAATGACTTTATTTTAGTGCCGCAAAATATTAAACGCCAACTCAATATGTCTGGACATAATTCTTCGTCGTCCGGAGTGCTAATGGTTGGACCTAATTTCAGAGTCGGCAAAAAAATCGGAAATGGCAATTTCGGTGAATTGAGACTGGGAAAGAACCTTTATAACAATGAACACGTTGGCATCAAGCTAGAACCATTGAAGAGTAAAGCGCCACAATTGCATTTGGAGTATCGGTTTTATAAAATGTTGGGACAAGCAGAAGGTAATACTTTGAAGCAGTTCACAGGAAATCATTATTTATATTTTGATCCCCACTTAGAGCCCTAATTATACGTAGCAGAATGTTTAGGTATTATCCTACAGGACATAATTTCCTGTACCAAATCGCACACCTTGTATATTTTCAGTTGGAACATTTTTCTACCGATATCGGAAATATATACCTAGTTTATTATTATTTGGTTTCAACGTTTACCAAGATGACATGATAGTAAATATTAATAAACTTATCGCGGTAATCGCGGTATATATACTCCGGTAAAGAAAAGTTGTAGATTTTGACATATTTGTTGGTTTGCAAGTTGATTAAATTCTAATCTAATTCTTTAAATAAATTTCAATTATTTTAAAAGGACTTCCAAAGGTCTTCCATCTCGGTACTTGCGGAGGTCGATATAACGCCATGGTAATGGAACTGCTTGGTCCCACTCTAGAAGACCTTTTTACCTTATGCAGCAGAAAATTTCGACTGAAAACCGTTTTAATGATAGCTGATCAATTACTAACTCGGATTGAATTTGTCCACTCAAAGAGGCTCATTTATAGAGATATAAAACCAGAAAATTTTCTCATTGGCCGATCAAAAACTAAGAAAGAGAAAATCATCCATATTATTGATTTCGGTTTGGCTAAAGAGTATATTGATCCGGAAACTGGGAAGCATATTCCATACAAGTATGATTCAAAAACCTTTCTCTTAAATAAACTTTTCAAAATATAATTTTACAGGGAACACAAGTCTTTGACCGGAACAGCCAGATATATGAGCATCAACACACATTTAGGCAGAGAACAATCTAGAAGAGACGATTTGGAAGCCATGGGTCACATGTTTTTATATTTTCTTAGGGGGTCTTTACCTTGGCAAGGCTTGAAGGCTGATACGCTTAAAGAACGTTATCAAAAAATAGGAGATACTAAAAGGAGTACTACTATTGAGTCACTCTGTGAAGGTAATTATTTGGAGTTAAGTTAATTTTACTCGCATTTAACAAGATCAAGATACCCTTGAATTTTTTGTGGTCTTTGAACTAAATAGACACTTATTAGGTCAGCCAGAAGAAATATCAACCTATATGAGATACGTAAGAGGCCTCGATTTCTTCGAAACTCCTGATTATGATTATTTGAGAAGGATGTTTAGAGACCTCTACGTGAAAAAAGGCTATCCTGACGATGGTATTTTCGAATGGACGGGTAAATTTCTCAAGTAAACTAACGCGTAATTATTTTTATTTTATTCAGTTTAGTTTTATTAAATTAATGAATACATATTGGAATATTTTTGGCAAAAAAACTCATACAACGGATATGAGTTGGCAACGCCGCACAGATCTAGAGGGTCGCTGAAAAAGTGATTTACTCTCAATCCTGGTTGTGGTTTTTGCCAATCTCGTTTTCTTCTTATTTGCTTAAGAATATCATTATCAAAAACATAATCAATCAATACACTACATGGACATTCCCAAAATCAGAAATGTGTGAGTGTCATGATCTTCTTTCTGTTTTTATTTTCTCAAATAGTAATTTTTTTATTTTCCAAATTATATTAGTGCTTTCCTTTTGCCATTTGCTGACTTGAAATCTTGTGCTGTTTATTAAGTTTAAACGGCAATAATGCACTGATTATAAAGTCAAGGTCACATTTAGTAGCCATTCAATACTTTGTATTCCTCAATCAAGTATCCACAGAGTGTGCGCTGTTCAAGCAGTGAAAGATAGTTTAGCGTCTGGCATCGTAAGGTAGGTCAGACAGCTCTGACGGAATCCTTGTAACTTTTATTTGCACTGCACTCTTTCTAAAACATCTATTTCTTTTGCGTAATGAGGGTTCCATATACATTGTGCATATTCCAACTTGAGTCTGACATAAGCTTTGTGGAGTTTTAATATCATCTCTTCAGATTGATTTTTGAACGCCTTCTGAATAAAAAAAAATAAGAGTGTTGGCCTTTTTAGTTATGTTGTTGATATGGGTTTCCCACTTAAGGTTCTCTGTGATCAGTGGCGGCCAGTGGCAACCTAGTGTGGTTGTGCGCTCTTGGAAAATTTTTTGGAGGTGCCACGTCCTGTTTTACATTTATTTTGTATGTTGATTTTTTTTCTTTTTACTTTAGGAAAAATTATCGAAAACAAAAATATATGTATTTAAATGAGGCTTGAATGTTTGTATTCTAGCCATAATACATAATTGATACTGAAATTTATAATTAAAAAAAAAACCGCGAACAACAGATTTGTCAAACCGCCAAAATGGTGAAAAAACATCGAAATATTCTCGATTGAGTGGAAACAACATTGGAAGTGTGTATTCAAATAGCGCACGGCGCATCCCTTTCATCGGGCGACTTACCGTATATTCCCGATCAATCGCACAGCAAGAAAACACATTTACCCAGAGCGCCGAACGATTCCACACCGACCACCCGGACCACCAGCACAACCAAGCGGGAGAAAAAAATATACAAGACAGGCGCAGGGCGCGCTTTCGTTCCGTTCGTGCGAATTTAAAAATAGAAAAATAAGTAGATATTTATCCTAATTTAGAAAATTGGGTAGGTATTTTTTAATTGAAGTTTCTTTTCTTTCCAAAATTTTAATTTTATTTTCTTGCTTGGTTTTTGGAGGCAGTGCGCGCGCACGAGCGCACTTATTGAGAAGCCGCCCCTGTCTGTGATGATAATATACCCAGGTCTTTGTGCTGTTCCACCTCTGCAATTCACTGAAAATGCCTTTTATATTCACTAATTCATGAGCACATGCAGAAATATATTCCGCTTCCATTGATGACAACCGCACACTATTCTGCTTGCGAGAGTGCCAAGCTATTGGGGTACCAGCATGATAAATAAACCCACTAACACTCCTTCTGGTATGTCGATCACCTGCCCAATCCGCATTCCACAATCTCATCCTTCCCTTTCTTGTTATGGAAACCAGCTTTCCAAGATGTCAGGTCTTGTGACATCAAACTACCCACAAGCCTTCGATATAGCACATTTTCTTCAATTGGTTCTTTTTCATCGATCTGAAAATTCACTTCCATAAGCGTAGACACTAGACGACATTTTTGCATGGTAAACTCTCTCAACAATCGGGTAATCATCTTAGGCGATTTCGGCAAGCTTTGGTTGGTATACCATTTTGTTAACCAATTGGTGCCTGCAACATCATAGTAATGACGTAAGCCACCATTTTTTTCCGATGTTTCTTTTACCTACGTTCATCCATTTCGTTTTCTTGATGTTTATATTAATACCCCATCTTTGCACTCTATCCAGCAGTATTTCCAAGTCTTCCATGTTCTCCGCAATGAGGGCATTGTCATCTGCGCATCTTAAGTTGTTTATTATTTCGCCTTCTATTTTACTCCCTCTGCCCTGTCATGGGAAGCCTCTCGAAATATGTTCTCTGAATAGAGGTTGAACAACAGGGGTGACAGAGCACATCCTTGTCTTACGCCGCTATAGTTTTTAATCTGTGACTGTAACGCTGTCATCCAGCCCGACTACAGCTGTTTGACTATGATACAGGTTTATCAAAAGGCGCATATAACATAATAGCAAATAATAGTCTGTCTAAGTTATATGATTTTACACTTTGAAAAAGTTTGGTGTGCTTGACTCGATCGAATGCTTTTTTGAAGTCAATATACAGGGTGTCCGGAAAATAGCGTAAAAGCTCTCCATTACGTAATAGGGGACCCTTTGAATAACCCTGAAAAAATAATTTAAAAAATCCTCCTCGACCACTCTTGGAAATATGAAGAGGAATATGTGGAAATTCAACTTCCTTATTTTTGTTTTTTTTTTTTTTTTTTCAAATTGCAATATTTTGTACAAAGTGTTAGGTATCTTTTGTTTATTCATTACACAATGGTTTATAAAAATTTGTTGTTAACCTTTGAAACGCATTATGAAAACTGCAAAATCTCTAAATTACAACGGGAAAAATTGATCTGACAACATTTTTTAGTCACCTTTGAATTTTTCAGGTAATTACACAAGTATTCAATTTGATTCTATGACAAATTGCCAACGGGATATTTTCAGTGTTGCCAATTTTAATAAACATTAAAATGCTTATAACTTTCCTAAGAATGCCACCAGATTTTTTAAATTATTTTTCTGGGATTCCTTGGAGAGTCCTCCACCACGTAGTGAAGAGCTTTTACGCTATTTTCCGGACACCCTGTATAGATGTTTTTTTAAAACTCACAGCTCTTCTGCAATAATATCCTCATGCAGAAAAGGGCTTTACGCGTTTCCAGCCCGCTGCCCGCTGCGGAATCCAAATATTTGTTCTCCGTCAATATTGTGTTCACATTTGGTGTATGTTCTATTGAGAAGTATCTTTAAGAGTATTTTTAAAGTGTTACTCATTAGGCTAATTAGTCGGAAGTCATTATATCTATTAGCTTTGTTGGTTTTGGGTGAGGCGATAAAGATCGATTTCTGCCAGTCGTTGAGAAGTTTCCCAGTTTGGTAAACCTGGTAGAAGAATGCCGTCAGAATAGATATGCCTTCGTCATCGAGTAGTTTTATTAGTTCTATAGGAACTTCATCGGGTCCTGGAGTTTTTCTTGCTTTTGACTGGTGTGTTGCCTTTTGAACTTTAGATTTGAGAATGCTTGGACCGTGCTCTGTCATATAGGTAATCAGTCAATAGATTCTCTGAGGTTTCGCGAGTCTCGTCCTCGAACAGTTGTTGAATATACTGCTGCCATTCATTAGTCATTACCTTCCTTTGTTTACAGTGCCTTTCCACCATCGTTATACAGCACTGTTGTGGTTTTTTTTTTGTAGATGCCAGAAAGTTCTTTTATCTTTTTAGGTAAGTTAAAGTCATCGTGTATGGTCTGCAGCTGCTCTATTTCCTTGCAGGATTCCCGGAGCCACACTTCCTTTGCTTCCCTTATTTTTTTGCATATTATCCGATATATTCTCTTGTACTCAGTATGATTGATTGTTGTGTTTGTGTTTCCGTCTCTCCTCCCTTCAATAAGTCCTACGTCATCTATTATCTTTTGCCTCTTTTCCCCTTTGGTTTTACCAGCTGCTGGACTCTTCGATTTCTCAAAGAAGTTTTGAGATCTCGCCAATTTTCTTCGACACTTTTGTTATCAAGAGGAAGTGATACAATTGTATGTATATTATTATGTATTTCCTTGATTAGTTCTTTGATGATTTTGGGGTCCTTTAGTATAGTACTGAGCAAAGCAAGTTATGATCAGAGTGCACGTTCTGTGTGTGTTGGGGGGACGTCTATGCCATGTGTACAGTCTCCTGTATGGAGGTTTCCATTAGCTGTGTCAAAATTTTGTGATTGCAAGTGGTTGTTTATTGCTTCATATAGACTGCCCTCCAAAATTGCTTCTTGAAGGGGGTGTGCGCCAAAAATTGAAGTTTTAGTGTAAAAATATCTAAGAATAACTGTTTAAACCTCGTTATTCTGAGATAAACCATCGCTGAGATATACTGCCCTAAAGTATGTATGACGTCACGATATCTTCGTCCAGCCGCGCTCCGCATTGTTCTTTTGATTGTTTCCGGCCCGCGTCAGTGGCTACGTTCACCAGAACCAAAACGGATTGTAAACAGTTTACAAATACCAACAGAATATGTTGGGTAAACTCTTGGTTCTGCTGAACGATTCAACTTTTCAATGATAGAACGTCACCCTCTGAATGACAGGTCACCACACAAAACGCAGTGTTGAAAATTATAAACACTCTGAAATTATGCTTGCAAAAATGGCGACCGTTTGCAAAACATGTTTGGTTTTAATACAAATTCAACGTAGCGTTCAGCAGAACAATACCGTTTACCAACGTTTGTATCTGGTGAACGCGGCCAGTAGTTCTTGTTTAGATTATTGCAGGTGGCACAGGAAAAACATATGTAAATTCAATGCACTTCACTATCTCGTGCAGCGCTTGAGCTCTCATGCCGTCATAGGGTAGGACGCGGTATCTTCATAGAGCCGTATCTTCGGTATTAATTATCATAGAGGAATGCGATTTTCGGGGATAATATCACGAGAGCTTCAAAATTACCGATAATTTTTCACGATTGAGTGTTTTCTATAATTTCACGAGTCCGTAGGTCCGTAGACAGTCCGTAGTCCGTAGACAGTTTCCATTTACAAATCACGTGCCTGTCAAAATTTTGGAGCAAATCGACGAGATGACAAAAACGAACACAACTTCTATTGAAATATTAG